TGTGACCTCATAGCACCGCCGAGACTGCAACTGGTCTCCAGTCACCTCCCCAACCTTATCCCCTACGGGTAACTTGACCTTCATGCAGTAAGTAGAGATGGCTGCTTGGAATGAATTCAAGCTAGGCCGCCCCAGTATGATGTTGTAGGTCGAGCTAGCATCCACGACCAAGAAGCGAACCATCTTCACCTTCCTCAAAGGCGACCTCCCCAATGCCACAGACAAACTAACTTCACCAACGGGACGGACCTCACTGCCACTGAAGCCATAGAGAGCAGTATGGACCGGCTCGACCTTCACGTCTAACTCCATCTGTTGCAAGCACTTTAGGAAAATGATGTCCGCCGAGCTCCCTGTGTCTATGAGTACCCTTTGCACCTCGTAATTGGCCACCTCCGCAGTGATGACCAAGGCATCATTGTGTGGAACGGCAACCCCCTGCACATCGCAAGCTCCAAACTTCAAAGTGGCCAAGCTCCTCTGCACCTGTACCTCAGCCACCTCATTAGCCACACCCTTACCTCGATAGGTCCTCTTCCTCTCTCTATGTGAGTCTCCATCCGTAGGACCTCCTGCGATCATGTGTATGACACCTTTCTTCACCGGTCTGTCAGGCTGCTCATCGGTCCTCCGCCGCTTGTCCCCTGACTCACGCTCATCCCGACGATCTTCTTGGCGCTCCCTATCCTTGATCACGAACTCATTTAAATGACCGGACCTAATGAGCCGCTCAATCTCATCCTTCAACTCTCGACAAAAGTTAGTAAAGTGACCATAGTCTCGGTGGTACCAACAATATCTATCCTTTCCTTCTGAAAATTTCTGCGGTGGGGGTAGGGGCTTTGGTTGTTTGAGCAGCTTATCCTCCCCCCGCTTCTCCATCACCTCCAAGATCTCATGCTGCGGAGCATTAAGTAGTTTGTAGTGCTCGTACCTCGGTCCCCTGAATCGATCCTTGATTTGAGACTCCTTAGGGGGAGCTCGTCGATCACCTTGTCGAGGCCTGTCCTCAACCTTCTTAGCCTTTATTTTATCATTTTGGATGAAGTCCGCATCTGATTCTTCCATATTCACATACTTGCTACACCTCTCCAAGAGCTCGTCAAATGACCTTGTCGGTCGCTTCGCCAAAGAATCCCTGCATTTCCCAGGTCTCAGTCCCCGCGTAAGGCCTCCAGCTTTTATCTCTTTCGAGGCCGAGGGGACCTCCACGCACTCCTTAGTGTACCGCTCTACATACTGTCGCAAGGTCTCCCCTTCATTCTGCTGCATATTGATCAATGAGAGGTACGTCTTCTCATGCTTCCTAGCACTCGCAAACTGATTCAGAAACAAAGAGCTGAACTTTTCAAAGCAATCGATAGATCCCGCCGGCAACTGGTGGAACCAATCTTGTGCCGACCCCTTCAAGGTCGTCAAAAAGGCTCGGCAGCTCACGACATCACTATACCTGTGCAGCACGGCTATGTTGTCAAACGATCTCAAGTGGCTAGCTGGGTCTGCCGATCCATCATATGACAAACTCAACTCCCTGAAGTTGCTAGGCAAGTCTCCTCCTAAGACATCCCCTGCAAAGGGGTGTCCTCGCGAGACTACAGGTCTTTTACCCTGAACCCGAGATTGGAGTTCTCGCATTTGAGCTGCCAACCTCTCCAAAGTTAACCTTTCCGGTTGCTCCGTCGCCATCGGGCGGGAGGTCACTGACCTAGCATCCTCCTCATCACCCCTCTCCACGCGCTGGTGCTGCTGTTGCACGGGGGTTTGTTGTTGAGGTGTTAGCGGCTGTCGCGGCGGAGGTTGTTTAAACGTCTCATTAGGGGCTCTCTTATCCACCTCTTGAGCTCGGCCTATCGCCTCCGCAATGATCTTATCCAACTCCGACCTGGTCATCTGAATAACCGGGTCTTCCCATGGTGTTGAAGAAACATTATCCCCCTGAGGGTTTTGTGCTCCTACCACGACCAACTGCCTACTCCCAAGGGCACCACTCTGCTCACCAGCACCCCCGGATCCCAAAACACCTTGATTTGCCCCTCCATCAACCGTGGTACCAGCCTCCTTCGCTTTGTCCGCCACACCCCCAGATCCTCCCGAGTTCGCTGCGCGCCTCTGAGCTTCTGTTGGTGGTATAGGGGTCACGCTTGGGCCCAGCAGCATCTCTTTGGGTGTGACCGGCGATGGTGACCATCCTGGCGGGGGGCCTGTTCCGAAAGCCCTCCGTGCCCATTCCTCATCCATCTCCTTACTCAAGTTCTTCTTTGAATTATCTCCTGCCATGACTCCTATCACTCTTCCTTTTTAGTGAGAAAAAACAGCCCTTAAAACTCCGGTAGAAGACTGAGGTTCCCCACAGACGGCGCCAATTTGTTATACCACAAATACTTGAACCGCTGGACCGCTCCTCTCCGAACCGGGTTGCGTCTCCTCGATCTTCCACGTGACATCCTCAAGTTAGTCTTCTGCTTGAACTGGATTCAGTTATTTTTCACGCGCCGGTACCTGCAAAACACGCCGGGGGTAGTCCCGGCGCGAACACTCCGACGCTCAAGTCAGTGGCGGTCCAAAGAGAAAATGACAGAGTAACGAGACAATAAGTATGTGTGTGTTGTGTAAATGAAATAACCTGCGCCCCTTTTATAGATGAAGTCATGTAGAGGTTGAAAAGTTCTTATTATACAATGAGTCTTTATCTGAATTAGGTCAAGATCCTAAGAGTCCTTGAGGTTGAGAACCTCTTCATGACTTGAACACGATACCACCTCTGGGCTCGGGTCTCCCCAGCGGGACGCCCAGCTACCTAGGTGCCAAGGTGCCCTGCCTAACTCACGTTGAGCTAGCCTCCGCCTACCAAAGCATCCGCCCACCAAAGCATCCGCCTACCAAAGCACCCGCCTACCAAAGCATCTGCCTACCAAAGCCTGCGCCTACCAAAGCATCTGCCTACCAAAGCACCCGCATACCAAAGCATCCGCCTACCAAAGCCTCCGCCTACCAAAGCCTCCGCCTACCAAAGCATCCGCCTACCAAAGCCTCCGCCTACCAAGGTATCCGTCTACCAAAGCATCCGCCTACCAAAGCACCCGCCTACCAAAGCATCCGCCTACCAAAGCACCTGCCTACCAAAGCATCCGCCTACCAAAGCATCCGCCTACCACCCATGTACCCCAAAGGTACCATGGGCCGTGCCTACCAGATTGAACCACCCAGTTGAGTGCGACTAGAACCCGGGTCACAACCGGTCTTTCATGAGCCGCTACTAACGACCACATCACCCGGTAATATTATTATTTGGTGACGTAACAAATAATAATATTAAACTAAAGGACCTAAATAACGTATAATTTGCGTCAAAATTATTTATGAGTAGAGTCCCCAAAAGCCGTGAAAATAAAGTGATGCCCATTAAGATGCCCCATAAAGAATAATATATATATATACAATAAGAGAAAGTGGTTAGGGTAGTTTGTCGACACTTTCAATTAATATACTAATCATTGATTATAAATAAAATAAGGGGGAAGGCATCAGTTCAAGCTGAATAAGTTTTTGTTTATACGTCTAAAGAAATGATACAGATAATTCACGGTCTTTTGGAAGATTTCCAAAATCCCAAATACAATTAACCAGTCAACATGAATCCATCAGGTATGCTTCCGCTATTCGGTTATGATTCTCGATTATTCAATATGAACGCTCTTGCGATTAATATCGATTTATTTCGAATAAAATTAAATACAATTTTCTATCACTACATCCTCACGATTTTTTGATTCCGTGTTCATCAATTTTATTTTTCGATTTTGTATTCATCAAATTTAGTTTTTATTTTATTGGTATAGTTTCTGTGATTGCCGAGGCGTATTCCCCCAGTTCGACGGAGTCGGTGAGTTTCCTCGTGGACGACCAGATTTTGGCCTCCAAACGCTCGAGATCGGAGCGCTCGACGGTAATTTGGATAGCGGACGAATTTTTATTTTTTTATTTTTTGTATTTGGTCTGTCGGGAGCGAAAGGGGGCTCTATTGATTGGAGAGATAACCGTAATTTTGGAGGCGGCGGGCAAATAAGATGATGCAATTTCCAGGGTGGCGTTGATTGGAGAGGGTAAGGGTGAAGAGGTGGTTTCATTCCGGCGGGCGAAGTTGGCCCTGCCGACCGCCATGTTCAGTGTTGGAGTGGTTGCCGCCAGATAATTTAGGCAGCAGCAGAGGCCGGATTCCGGCGATGTCCCTGCCTCCCTACCCATATGTTGCCTCCGGAAAAAATTGTGTGCCTGTGCTGAAAATTGGCGGCGAACGTGAGGAAGACGGTGCGGTGGCGGTGGCGGGCGGCGAACGGCGCAATCAGGGGTGGCGGGCGGCGAACGGCGCAATCGGCGGTGGCGGACAACAAACCGACGGGGTGTGGTGTGAGGTTTGTTTTCTGTGCTTGTGCGTGCCTTCTGTGCGTGACCGATATTGTGTGACAGCTGCGGCAGATGTGAGGTGGTGTGCAGCGATGGCGGAAGGAGGCGGCGCCGGCGGTCTGACGGTGGGAGCGGCAGGTGGCGACGAAGCTGTCGGCCATGTGTGTTGTGTGTGTGCAGTGTGTGTATGTGTGAGAAGTGTGTGTACGGGGGTATGTGATGTGTGTGTGCGTGAGAGACGAATGTGTAAATGGAGTGGGCCTGACATATGTAATGATAAAATGTCTCTTATATCCTTAATGAGTGTAAATAATTGGTTTATTTTTTCACCGTTGGATGATCTAATTTGATGGCTATGATTAATTCTTATTTCTTTCACTAAGCACCATTCTCACTTGAACCCAACTATATATATATATATATATATATATATATATA